AGCATCACTGCCACTTCATTACCAAATCCTTCGCTTCAGTGAGATTCCCTTAGGCAATAATGGAATTACGGAGCGGCCCACGGTTTCGTCCATTTGTGGGCGGGCGGGTGGCGGGGGTGCGGGCGTTGGGACGAATCTTGTGGCTTGATAGGGGTGCGCCTTTTTGAGCGGCACATTCCTCTGGGAAAGAACCGCCTTTATGCAACGCTTGCTATGCGACCCTGGGGGTCGCCGGAAATTTCTACCTGCCCAGGAGTATTGATCCTAGGTCGTCTTTTTGGAGGATTTGTATTCGTGGCAAGGGTGCTTAAATTGCCACGTTGAAACACCACGGTCGCTATTCCCGTCTTCTAAAGGCATTAGCTCACTGACACAAAGTTTAGGGGATGAAGGAAAGAAGTAGAAGCGTGAACTTTTAGGTAGCGCTGTACTCAAAAGAAAAACCAGTGAAGAAAAGAAAAGTAAAGAAAAAAGAAAGTGGTCAACGCCGGTGATCCCATTCACCATTGATTTTGAGGGCTGTACGGGTTTCTGGCAGAGGAACGCTCAGCATTTATACGAGAGCAAACGACAAAAGGCAAAAAAGTACACGGCGGCACTTGCACTGCGCGCTTTCACCCCTAAATCACTCAGCCCTATATCCACGTCAGCCCTAAATCACAAGATTCTGCGTCCTTTCCACGCAATTTCAAGCCGAGAAATATGCATAACCTATGCATATTGCAATAAGGGTGGGCAGCTGCAGCTCACTCGTGGAATATTTCCGGTGAAACTTTTCCCTGGCCAACTCGCCCTCGTGAAACAACGTCACATACCCACAGAGGATGTCGATTCGGGTAGAATGAAGCTTGCATATGAGATAAGCAAGCCATTAGCTTTTTACACCTTTCGCTTGATTGGAACATATGCTCCTCCAATGAGAACTAAATCTGAATGCTTTTGTTGTAATAAGTAATAGCTGCTGCTTATCGTCGCATTTCACAATCCATTTCACAATCTTTGAATAATATTCAAAGATTCTGAGTCATGCTAAACGAGCTACCCAAGCCAAAACTCGAACTTGGACCGGCTCAGTGTGCCATAATTGGACCCTCGCGGCTTCAACAGGCTAAGGCAGCGTTCAGACTTCGCGACGGCAGCGCTTCGGTCGCGCGATTCGACGATCGATGCGCATGCTTTCGACTGCATCGATCGCGTCGAACGCGCGACCGAAGCGCTGCCGTCGCGAAGTCTGAACGCTGCCTAAGCAATCTCCTTTTAATTCTGAACTCTTTGAGCGGATGCAATTAGCTTTTTCTGCTAGCCATTAGCGTCAATCAGAGCTAGTTAGTTATAGATAAGCCTCTAGGAAAGCGAAGGTGGTGTAGTGGCAAGTGGCACGCTTACCACGCGTACGGTCTAGGGATCAAATGACCGCCCACGCCAACCGAGCCCTCTTCCTCGGGGACAATTAGTTGGCTATCGGATTGACGCTAATGGCTAGCAGAAAAAGCTAATTGCATCCGCTCAAAGAGTTAAGAATTAAAGATTGCTCAGGCAGCGTTCAGACTTCGCGACTGCAGCGCTTCGGTCGCGCGTTCGACGCGATCGATGCAGTCGAAAGCATGCGTATCAGTGGTCGAATCGCGCGACCGAAGCGCTGCCGTCGCGAAGTCTGAACGCTGCCTGAGCAATCTTTAATTCTTAAC